CCAGCACTCCACGAGAAGAAGTGCCCCCAATGCCTTCATCTGTTCCGGCATCTTCAGCTGCGCCAACATCGTCGCCAGCAACCGCACCCGTCACGGCATTCGAGTCTGAGTCGGCACCCGCGCCACACGTGGGCTACGGCAAGACAAAAGAGCCCGTGCACGCAGCTCCGATTCCGACACAAGCACCGTCGCAGCAAACAAAAGAAAAACCGGGGTTTTTCAGGCGAGTCTTCGGCTCGTCTAGAAGCAATGCCTCCAACAACCCGCCCGAGGCGCAAAATTCCACAGGCATAACGTCGTCAACATCTGTGGATTCTGTTGATCAGAGGTCTGGGAACCGACCCCTACACGTTGCCAACCAAATGAAGCCATCCGCCCCCGCCCCGCCCTCGAGGGATACATCTTCATCCCATTCTCATCATCACGTGCTGCAAAAGAAACCGAGCTCCTTCTTTCGTCGCAGAAAGAAGTCTGTGTCCGCCGATGAGGTCCCTCCTGTGCCAGTTGCTGCCACTCTCGAACCGCCAATGCCCCCTTTGGTGGCCCCGATCCAGTTGCCCATCACCAAAGACAAGCTTTCTGCGAAACCAGAGCCCAGTCCAATCAGCAGTTTGCGCAGGGTTATGAACCCGTACCTTAAAGGCAGCCCGGTGACGCCAAATACGCCCTTGACACCCCAATCTGCTCCTGTGCAAACTGCCTACTCCGAAATGACCTCCGATCCCGCTCCAGCTTCGAACGGTGAGAGGGCTGAAGAACAACCACGATCCTTCTCCCCCGAGTACGACCCGAGTCCCAATGCACGGATAAGAGAAGTCCGCTCAGGATCTCGTGATGATGACAATGATTATCATCCAGAGCATGGGCGCCGAACCGATACGCCCACTAGGCCGCCCCCAGAGCCTCCCATATCGCCCGAAAAGCGAAATAACTCCTTCCTCGACATCGATGGCAGTGACAATGAGGCAGACACCGAGTCGAAGCGAGGCAAGACAAAGAAGGACAGGAACCACAAATCTGGCAAGACGAGCAAAGAACCCTCTCCGTCCCGGAAGGGGATTTCAGACCAAAAGGATGATACCATCAGAGGCAGGAAAAACAACAGACTCGCGGTCGCTCCAGCAGACTCGGATGATGAGGGCAATAAATCAACACTAATCTTGCCAATGGAGGGTACTAGGTCTGCCAGCCGAGCTTCAGGGTCTACCACCACCGAGTACAAGTCTGCAATGAGCGGCACCCCCAGCGTCCGAGTCGAAACCACCGAGAACAGCCCCAAGGTCCTTGGCACATTTGAGGCTATGAGCACCAAGCCTCTGGATGAGCCCGATTTCATCGTTGGAGACCCAACAGAAGACGACCGCCAAAAGGCACAAAAGATATATGATGGTAACGAGGACTTCATCCAGAAGGAGAAGGCCGCTGCATGGATGGGTGAAGAAGGCCCCGTCCGGCAGAGGACTTTGCAAGCGTACATGGACTTGTATGACTTTGCCGACAAGAGCATTCTCCAGAGTCTCCGCTTGATCTGCGAACGCCTTGTCTTTAGAGCAGAGACACAGCAGGTTGATCGTATCTTGGTTGCCTTTTCCAAGCGTTGGTGTGATTGCAACACCAACCACGGATTCAAGGCATCCGGTATGTTGCTTCCGTACCCCCAATAACCAAAAGAAAGCCCAAACTAACATTACACAGACGTCATTCACACAATCTGCTACTCAATCATGCTGCTCAACACTGATTTGCACCTGGCTGACATCGAGCACAAGATGACGCGGAGTCAGTTCGTCAAGAATACCATGACTACGATCACTCAGGCGGTGATTGAGGCGGCCCCCGATGCGTTTGAGCGGCCGACTATTCTACCGGGTAAATCCAATAGCGCTCTTGGAGGCGACGATTCCAGACCGTCGATCGAAGAGCGTTTTGTTTCGCGTCGACTGTCGTTCCGACCGCCGCCGAGAAACGAGGGAGACGGGTCCGGAGACCACTGCCACGACGAATGCGGGCCCTTGGTCAAGTCACCGTTCGACGGTTCGATGCGAGCTTGGGAAAGCCAGGTCGAAGTCGTCCTCAAAGACATTTACGCCTCGATCCGCGACGAACGATTGCCTCTCTTCGGTGCCGATCCGTCCAAGAACCTTGCACCCAACACCCAGAGCGGTCTCTCTGTCATTGGTATGCTGAAGCGAACGCCTAGCGTTCTGAGTAAGGCCCCGTCTGAGAGTCAGGCATCTATGCGTGGGCGCATAGCTGAAAATGGCCGTGCCAATTCTTCCAGATGGAATTCGAAGAGCAGGTCACGACCTCGTATGGGCAATCCGGGCTTCTCTTCGTCGCGAACGAGCTTCGAGGACGGAAATTCCATTTGGAGCCCTACAGTATCGTCGGCAACGTGGAGTAAGCTCTCGCTGGGCCGAACGCAAACATCGATGTCTGTGGATTCGCTCAGCTCGTCATTCCGTGGAGGCGACTATCAACAGTCCATCGGATTTGCCAACGCCCTTAGCCAGGCCGTCATCCGTGATGATGAATCCTGTCTCGGGAAGGAGCCGTCCATCATGAGTGACGAACTCAAACCCGCGCAACTCCTTGACGACGAATCGCTAGAGCTCGCCGGTCCTCCGTGGGTGAAGGAAGGTATGGTGATCCACAAGCACCACCTTGACGGCATCGAGAAGAAGGCCAAGGACCGCCACTGGAACGAGGTCTTTGCCGTCATCCAAAGAGGCCAAATGAGTATCTTTTCCTTTGGCACTAACAAGACGGGACGCAAGGGCCGCGGTCGCAATGCAACCAAGGGTCCGGCCATTGTGGGAGGCGGTAACTGGCAGGAAAATGCTACTAACCTAGGCACCTTCAGCCTCCGACAGACTCTAGCATCTACTCTACCACCGCCTGGTTACTCGAGAGCTCGCCCTCACGTCTGGGCCCTTAGCTTGCCCACGGGCGCTGTTCACCTGTTCCAAGTTGGAACCCCAGAGATTAGCAAAGAGTTTGTCACTACAGCCAACTATTGGAGCGCGCGCTTGAGCACACACCCTCTAGTCGGCGGCATCAGCAACATCGAGTATGGCTGGAGCGATGCCATTATCAACAATGCGCTGGTAACGGCTATCAACGAACAAACCGTGGGGCCGGCGACTGGGCGCCAGCGCTCCAACTCAAGGCCCGGAAGCAGCGCCGCCGGAAACCCTCGACCTAGCATGTCGAGCTTCCGCTCAGCTGCTTCACTCGACCACGGTTCCGGAGGCCCTTACAGCTCAGCCAGCCGTGGTAATAAGCTGCCTGGTGACAGGATTCACGTCGCCGAGTGGGCGCCGCCAACACAGAGCATGCGGCCCAGCAATCTACCAGAAGAGGAGCAGCTCGAAAGCCTCCTTGCCTACGTCAAGGGCATCGAAGACGAACTTCAGACGCACAATCAGCTTCGCAGCCCGATGCTGCTCGCCTTCACACCCCGCGGCAACAACGCCGTTCGCGCCATGGCAAACTGGGAGCGCAAGAGTGCCTACCTTCTTCGGGAGATTGTCAAGTTCAGGACATATGTCGACTGCTTGCAACAGGCCGAAGCGCGCAAGACTGAAATTTACGGAGAGAGAGATTTGGCTCGCAGAGCCGCGAGGGGAGAGTTGGATGAGGGAGAGATTGAATTCGACGTCGAACGAGACACGCCAATCAGGACTTAGATGGACTTGGTGCATACGCTATGCTACGGAGAACGAAGACGGGGGTGTTTGGCGGGAAAAATATGAGCGGTTCACGCGCGCGCAGAGAGTCGAGCCCACGACGATATGACCACATTGGACTCTAGGAGTTTGAGTTTGGGTGGGCGTCTCTTGGGCGTTGGTTTTTGGCACACATCATCTTTTGTTTTGTCTTTTCTTCACTTCTTTTTATTTGTACAAACATAGTTTGATACCCAGACTTTTGTCAACGAGCCCGCTCCTACAACGTTTCCTGTCGTTTCACGGTGGGGAGCCGCGGGGAGGAGGCGTTTTTTCTTTTATTACACGGTGGCTTCGGGTGTTTGTCTTCTTCCGTCTGGTGGGAGACGTGCCTTGCCTTTACAAGAGACAGGTAGGGGCTCATTATAAATTGGGTGCACGGCATGGCGGTCCAGTGTTCTCGCTGAGCGAACAATTTTGCAGACACAACACGGCACAACACGGCCTTGCTCGCATTGGGAGGAATCGGCTCGTCTCTGATTAATGAGGTGTAAATAGTAATACGGAGCAGTAGGATAAGAAAAAAATAAAACGGGGAAATAACTCTGGTTTGGACTTTGCTCTTCTCCGCCTTTGGTTTAATTGATGCTTTCGTGAAGCTGTGAGGTGGGAGGTTCTGGTTTAGGGGACGGTTATGGTCTAAGAAAGCTCCTTACTTCGGCCCCTTTGCCCTCATTCCTGAATTTCAAGTGCTTCCGGAGCGATATCGTTTAACCTTCTCGTCCGTATCAACTCCGCGATGACAATTCGAGCAGTGTTTGACTCCTGGAATTGATCTTGTGCCAAATGAACTACGTCCAATTGGTTGAAATGTTCCCACCAGCCTATCCGCTATCTCCCACTTGGGGTGTGCGTGGGGCTCCGGGAATGACTGCTTGCTTTCTTTCACGTCATCCATCCACTCGGCATTCGGTATTTTTACCCCACCATTTCCCAACCTACAACTCAGTTCTCCGATCTTCAACTACCTACAACTAGGTTTCTTCTATCTAGATTGCCACCCGAATTAATACTGAAAAGACTCACCGCAAATTCGAGAATACTTTGATCAACTCTGTACTAAGCCCCTCACAAGAGTTAGTTGAGTCCCTGTTCAAGCTAGCATAACCAGTAGCGAGTGAAGACTCACAAGCTTTCACATGTCAACACATACAGCGGAACTGACAAACACCTCCCAGCCCTGCCCCCATTCCCACTCAAAAGTACTCGGATATGGATCCCTCACAAAACGCCAACTCCCTACCCCCGGAAGCAATCGCCCTCGCGGGACGAATGTACGACGCTGCGCGGAAAGGGGATCTCGCCATTTTCCAGCAGGCTTTGCCGGCTGGATTGCCGGCCAACATGACGAATGAGAAGGGGGATACATTGGTATGTACTTTTTTTTACTATTGCCCGCATTCTGAAAATTGCAGAAAAGAAACAAAAAAAAAATGCCTTTTTGTTTGACTGCGTTCACAAATCTTTTGCTGATTAGCGTTTCTTACTTGAACATGTGTAGCTCATGCTGGCCGCGTATCACGGACACGCAGAGCTGGTGAAGTTGCTCATCCAGCACGGGGCTGATGCGAATCGGTTGAATGATCGGGGCCAGAGTCCCCTTGCTGGGGCGGTTTTTAAGCAGGAGGATAAAGTCATCGAGGTTCGTTGATATCAACCTGCTGCTTTGCCCTACTTACCTCACCTCCGCCGATAATGAGATACCTGAAGCGGCGTCGTTCTCATTTCCTGGTCACCGCCTAGATCATGGTGTTCTGACACGTTCGCAAATAGGTGCTACTCGAGGGCGGCGCGGATCCGGATTATGGTGCTCCGAGCGCGTTGCAGTGTGTTGCCATGTTCAAGCAGGAGGAGAAGTGGCAAACCAAGTTTGAGTCTGCGCCGGGTCGGGGAAAGGCTGTAACAGAATCATGAGATGGGAGAGCACGCAGGAGACAGAAAAATTGACAGTATTATCTTCCTTTGCCACGCACATTCCATAAAGCTGCAGGAAGCTCATTGTAGTCGAACCTCAGTAGAAATGGAGCCATACTCTCTCTGACAGGCCGGCATCGCCTGATATGATTTAGTGACGAAGATACGTTGATGACGACCTATCTTTGTGAAGAAGCCAGGCACGCGGTGGTGGACTAGGCCGTATAGCACTTTACATAGAATTGGATAAATCCAGAGGTCTTGAATAGACATTGCGGGAGCCTGTAATCCTTTGACTGGAACTACGTTTGTCTTCCAAAAACCGAAGCCTCTATAGAATTTTTTCATACCGCCGGTGGCGCCCCTCCATTGTTTTCCTCCTGTTCGAAGGGCTTCTGAGCGTAAACAACGTGGCTATCAGACATGTTAGCCTCAACATCGGTTTAAACTCACAAAAGGAATCAAGAAAAGTGGGGGCGGAAAGGAGAAACCAACGTACTGATCAAAAATGGCATGGCACGCGCCCTCCTTTAACTCCTTCCGAACTCTTGCGAGCAAAACCATGACTTCCTCCCTGGTCTGTCCCAAGAACCCGCAGAAGATTTTCAGCGTGAAGCCCTCCAGGCCTTCGAGGAGCTGAACCAAGTTCAACATGCCGACGTCGGCGTAGTACTCGTCCTTTGCCCAGGGCCCGATAGGGACTTTGAACCGCTGGTGCGTGACGTTTTGGAACCCGGCGTCCCGGACCCAGCCTTCGAGCTGGGGGCCCGGGCGTGCGGTACGGCCCATGGCCTCGCAGGCGTCAATGTACTGCCTGTTCCACTGGCGCGTGGCGTGGTCATCTGTGTAGGTGCCGTCGTCTGAGTAGTAGAGTCCGTCCATATCTTGGATCTCGACCCATCCGCCTGGGTTGACGTTGCTAAAGCGTTTCATAGTTAGTAGGTGTAAGGCGACCAAGAAGAATTGTTGAAACTGAATCATATCTCGGGCTACTTACTCATACATGTTTCTTATGAGTCTAGGCCAGTCTTGAATTGAGATGAGCATGTATCGACAAAAGATGTAGTCGTATTTGTGCTCGTTGATCCAAGGGCTCTCGACATCGTCAATTTCGAACCTCACGTTCGCCGGGACCCTTGACAAGTCAGTAAGATTATCCCTGAGTAAATGCGCACTTTTCTTACCATCCAGGCTGAATGGGACTTAAGTCGTTTCCGATAATCTGTTTGGTGTTTCAGCATCACTTCGCGATTCAGCTCACTTGAAGACACTAACCTCGGCGTTTTCGAAAATGTCGCCCATTTCCACTGACCCTGCATTAAATCCAAGTCAGCATCGTCTTTCATCAAAGAGCGAGGGGTTGTATCGGGTTTTCCTTTTCTCACAAATTCCAGTGCCTGTCCCAATGTCCAAGACCCGATGAAGAGTTTCCGCCCTGAGGGGCGCCAGGAACAACCTGTTGCCAATTGATCTGACCATGAGTGCGTGGGCTATATCCATGCGTTCCATTTCGCGCTGCATGAGTTTAGAGTCTTTCAGATTCCAAGATTGGTTTATGGATTTTCAACAAACCTCATCGTTTGGAAAGGAATAGGCTATGGACACCACGTGAGTCAGACCAAGTAGCAAAGAGCGACAACCCGAAAGCACACTCACATCCTGGTCGGAATGCGTGATATCTTCGTCCATATTCGACCGGGTAGTCGACAACACTCGAAGTTAGGGACGCGGAGTAGTTTGTTCTGTTTCAATCTTCATCAGCTTTTAACAGCACGCAAGATGGGAAGTTGCGCATACATCCTTTCATCAATGGTAGACCCGTCAGTCTAGGAAAGCCATTAGTTCACTCTTGTTTTGGCACGGGAAAGGTGAATAAACAAACGCTAGCTCCATCATCACTCGCTTCGATAAGGCCGGGAGTATTGGCTGTTGGCGTTGCTGCTGTTCCTGGTGACGAGCTTTGAACCGCCACGGGACTTGCTGGCGTGGGTGTTGCGACCGGCTCAAACGTTGCGGTTGGCCCAGTTGTCTCGGCTGGCTCCGAAGAGACGGTCGCCCCAGACGCCGCGACCGGTCCAGATGTTGCGATCGGTTCAGACGTCTCGGCTAGCTCCGACGAGACAGTCGCTCTAGGCGTCGCGACCGCTTCAGATGTGTGTGCCGGTGGAGAGGCCACAGCTGGGGGGGGTGCAACGGTTTGAACAGCTGCATCGACACCAGCCACATTGGCCTGAGGAGTCGTAGGATGAGGTGAGGGTGAACCAGCCATCTCTTGTGTCTCAGTCATACCAACTGGACCAGTGCCGCGGCTGAGATAGATGTCACCCGTGATGTAAAGAAATAAACAAGTGAACGAAGAAAACCAGCCAACTGACCCAAGTGGTTTGCTCTCTCTTTTGAAGGAAGATTGAACTGGTTGGGAGCATCTCACGGACAGGGATCTCGTTTCGATGTCCCACCTGTTGGTGCAAGCAGGATGATGCCCAGCCGTACGAAGGCAGGAAAAGTGTCTCCATTTGGTCTAGAGTATCCCCGGGCTTGCATTACTTCAAGGATCTGAGTAGATATCCTCACCAATCGATGGCTACCGCGTCTGCCATCCCCGTAGCCCGTCCGCTCGGAAGTTGGAACTGCATACACAACTCACGTCCGCCGCATCATCGACCCAGCGATGCATTTTACCCCTCTCTGCCAAGATGGGCGGGTAAACGCGCCTTGCCGTAAAAGATGATACTAGAAGAAAGAAACAAGGGCAGGAGATGGACCGATGGTAGCATTCGCTTCATTTCCAACAGACTCTCGAGGAAAGAATTGCAAAAAAGGGTGAAAATTATCCCAATCACCATTAGTATTGCAATCGAGTTTTCTCATCTTGTGCTTGAAGAGGACGCAAGAAGAACTTTTCTTTCATCATATCACTATTCCGAAGACCTCGTTGGCCGTCACGTCTAATTGTTTTCAGCACTTTCAAGGAGGGGCGGGCTTGCTGCTTCATCGGAGGAAGCTGCCGCCTCCGCGATGCGAATATCTTACAAATTGAATCACATCATGAGTCTGATTTCTTCTGTTGTCTCGAAACTCTCAAGTCAAGAAGTGTATCAAAGACAACATAATCATATCAAAATGCAACATCTTCCAAAGACAAGATAATTGATAATGACTTTCTGAGCTGTGTTCCTCGCAAGAACCTACCACATTCTGCGAACTGAGGCTCGACCTGTCAATGTCTTTCGTTCGGTAGGTATTATTGACGACTGTGAGTGTCTCGCAACTTCCGCGCGTTTCTGGTACAGATGGAAGAATATGATCTAATTAGGTGCGAAGTACCTTGAGTTTGATTCTGCAGACCGAGTCACGGGTAAGCTGTTGATGTTCAACTAAGAAGAGCGTCTGGAGATTTCTTCGCATTACCAGTCATCCGCTATGGCTGTAAGTTTACTTTGGAATCCAGCCGACTCACTAGAGATATATTCTTTATTTCCAGCATTATGACACCAAACTGCATATCAAAACATTAGCCTTATACCGAAGCTAGCTATCCCAACTCCAAGGGTTGTAAAGTTGCTCCTTATTTCTTGCCGAAAATTCTCCAGTCTTGGACTGTATTGGTTTCTATTTCATCCATGTCTTGTGGTTGTATATTTCTGGAAAGACCAGGTCACCGGCTTTTGCTGTCTTGTAGTTGAACAGATTGTAGACGGAAGAAAGTCTCCACAGGTAATATGTTTGCGCTCTCTACGTTTTCTCCTTCTATTTGTGTTCTATAGAATGAATCATGAAGAATTCTGGATAATTCATATCTACGACAAGCAGTTGATTGTAGGGTGAGTTCTAGTGATGAGCCTTCCAGTCTCGAACTGCCACATTACGCATACGAATCTACCCATACCTCAAAAGCGCAGCTAGCGAGAGGAAAAATAATCCAGGACCTATCCTCAAGAATTTAACATACCCAACATCCAAGACTCACTGCGCCATGTTTATGATATCCCATCTCCATCTATTAAAATAACTCGCCAGCTCTCGATCAGTATCTAATACAGTACTCTGATTAAAAAAAAAAAAAAAAAAAAAAACCTACCTTTAACGTCAACATAAGAAAGCGTTGCAAGCCGCAATAATCGCCGCGGGGCGCCGCAGCCTGCACTACACGTCATTTTTTTAAAAAAAAATACCCTAGCGAATAAGAAAAGCCACAAGCATCCGTAGTCTTGAGGTGTAAAGTCAAATGGGTAGATTCGGCGGCGTACGCGTGACGTTGGCGTTGGCCTTCCACGAATCAAACATCTTGGCAAGGTGGCTTAAAAGGTTATTTTTTCAACGTCACCTAGAACTTCACCGCCCACTTTGAACGTGCCATCAGAAAAGAGTCGTTAGAGATAGTGCGATATGCATTCAGTTTTATTTCTGCTTGGGAATCTGAGCATAAAGTGGCACAGGTTTGTACGGGTACTTCGAAGGTCTTCAGTCAATGCTCATAATTAAGTATCTACTCCGCTCAAATCATCTGGCAATCAATATACGGTCCAAAGGTATCTTTCTAGCACCAATAGCCAGGGATCTAATCCTCACTCTAGCCTCCACGTCATCCCTGTATTATCAAACCATTCTTCAATGGCTGTGATGGCTTCGTTGTACTCAACCATGACCGTCTCCTTGGGCGCGAACGGCGGAGGCTTATCCCAGGCGTGCTTCTCAGCCTCGACAACACGTGTGCTGACCCGGCGACCGCGGGATCTTACTCTCTCCGCAAAGGCCTGCCCCTCCAATAGCAACATGTCGTGCTCGCACATGCACAGGTGTACTGGTGGCAGGCGATCTATCATCTCGTCTGTCATGAGACCAGGTGACAGGCGCGGATCACCACGTTCGGACCTTGGTCTGGGAGGATATATGTACGACGCATCAAAAAGGTCAGTCATGCCCTTGGGAAGAGTCATTTCTGGCTTTCCACATGTCTTGCGCTTCTGGGGCCTGGTCATGGTCCAATCCAAGAGTGGGTAGAACAAGACTATGCCGGAGATGTCGGGAACAGGTAGTTTAAACTTGTATCCCCACCGATTAGGGTCCTGGAGAATGTTCCAACTGGCAAGGGCCAGTGTGCCTCCAGCCGAGAAACCCGACAGCACGACCTTGTCTGTGTCGATGCGGAATTCTTCGGCACGTGCGACGATCTGAAGAATAGAGTCGGCGGAGTCCTCCACCGGTGTGGGGAAGGGATAACCCGGGGCCAGACGGTAGCTCACGGAGAAGACGACGGCATTGAGAGCCGTGGCTACGGCGCCAGCCCAGCGGGCATCATCTGTGCCCTGTCCGAGGATGAACCCCCCGCCGTGAAAGTTGATGACCGCAGGGATCTTGCCGGTGGGTTTGCTGGAGGAGGTGGTGGGAGGAAGATAAACATCGACCCTGATCTTCTCCTTGCCGGCCCACTCTGAGAGGGTAGAGTCTAGCCAGATGACTCTATTCGCAGCCGGTGGGACGGGAGCGGACAGGTTCTGCAGGCCGAAGGCAAAGGCGGCCCCCGAGCGTAGGGCAACAGCATTGGCCGTCAGGCGCCATCGGGCGATATTTTCAAGTGGATTGTCGTACTCATCGTCGGAAGCGCCGGCTATGCTACTGGCGACGCTATTGGCCTTGCTCGCGGCCTTACTCTCAGGCTTTCGTTCTTTCCTACTGGCTCTACTCTCTTTGGAGACGTTGGAGATGTTGGAAATGGTGCGAGTAAGCTTGCTCTGTAGCATCGGGAACACGGACTGCTCGGAGCGCGTGCGGGAGTCAGGAGGATTAAACTAGTGGGTATTGGTAAGGCTGGCAGGCAACGAGGGACGATCGGACATTCAAACGGACAATGAATCAAATGTCTCAAAGGTCGCAAGCGGTGAGAGGGTCAGGTAAACAGTAACGTGCCGGGTGTATCGGAAGGGGTTCGATTGATAATAGGTCGATAGGATGGAAGAGAGGAACGGGAAAGATGGGAGGATGGGAGAGAATGTGACAAATCAAGGGTGCGCAAGGAATCTTCGGGATGCGTCGTTGAGCAAAGACTGTTAGTCTGGAGGGCTACAGGCTGCAAAGGAACGGCAAAGGTGTTCCGCTGGCGGGAAGCTAAGGATCCCGGGCGGGTGGGAGGAGAAGCATCAGGTGTCGTTGACGTTGAGGGAGGGTTTTCTTGGCAGCGGTGCCTTGCCCTGCTTGGCTTGGTGTGTGTGATGCAATGTACGGATACCCAGTAAGGTATGTAGATGTGGCCGGTGTGGCTCAGGTGAAGATCAACAGGCAAGGTAGCTGTGGCTGAGTTT